CTCATTAATCGCATAACCATCTGATCCTGAGTCTCCCACCAGGCTGGAGGTTCAGCCATTCCAGATCTGATGCCTTCTGCTTTCTTTCCGTGACCCTCTTTTTTTAAGCAATAACAAATAAAAAACTCCCATCTACCTGCTCTCTAAATACTCCACACTGCTTGGACCTGCACTGCAAATGCCTGCACTGCCTTCTTGCGCTGAGGAACGGCATCATGACACGGGGAGGTGCAGGGAGGCAGCTACCAAAACCCATGCAAAACCCTAAATACACGAACAGAGCACGTCAGAGCTCAAACTGCTTCTCCTTCCCCCAGAAGGTATCTCCACGGTGTGACTCAACAACCCCTGGCATGGCAGCAGGAAGTAACTCTAAACCAAATTGTACAAACCTAGGGCATTTGACTTGCCACGGTGGCAGTTTGGCAGCCTCCCCCCAGCACTAAATTATTATGTTTTGACATTTAAATGCATTTCAGAGCAAACACTGCAAGCAAACACAAACAACAGCCTGGGATAGGACAGTGCTGTAGATTTCCTGCAGCCCCATGGAGAGAATAGTGCCCTGTGGACCTGCTGGCTGGGCTTGCACAAGGCTTGATGCTCATCAATTTTCTCCTCCTCCCATGCTCACCACTTGGGTCTTCACAAAGATCATTCACCTCTGAAAAAGACACCAAGACCCTGCAACAAGAGGCGTCAAGGAAAAAACGCGGTGCTCCAACAGCAGAGGCATCTCAGTCTGCAAAGGAATTAAACGCATAAATAACCTGCAATTAATGAGCCTCTATATGCAAGAAGCATGAAGTAACCCTAATTTTTCTCGGTCCTATTTGTGCCTCCTAACATGGAATGAGGCTCCCTCCTGGTCCCTGTGTCCACAGGCTGAGACTTTCCGAGTTAACTTGACGCAAACCAGAGCTGTGGCCCGACCGTGATCGGAGCGCACGGCTCCAAAACTGGAACGAACGAGCAAAAAAAAAAAAAACACAACAAAAAACTCCCCATATTTCATCCTTCTTTTGTGGCTTTTATTTTCTTTTGTATTCGCTTTGGGAATAACATTCTTTCCATTGGGAAGAGCCTGATTTTCCATTAAATACAAAGCAGCTGCCATTTTGGAAACAAAAACTTGATTAAATACAGATTTTTTTTTATTTTTTCCCTAACGTACGAAGAGCTAGAACCACGCTTCTTTCTGCTGATTTATCAGGGCAAAGCATCTGCCAATTATGGCAGTAGGAAGACTTAAAGAGAACAAACCGAATTGCTCCATCTTCACTACGCTATTTTATAATTATAATTTGATATTCTAAATGAAAAGGGAAAGATCTCAAGGCTTACAGCACGGCACACCGCACTCATCTTTGTGGTGGGGCACGCTGACACCAAGGGTCTCTCACCCTTCACACACACATGGATGCTCCAGATTCCCCATTTACGCAGATTTCTGTTTGCCGAGATGCCAAAGGAAGGGTCGGCATGTTGCCGTGACGTATGGCTGCCTGTTGGAAACGCAGCTAATACATGACTTAAGATCCAGATGTTGAGCAGACTGGAAAAAAGCATGAGCACAAAACAACAAAAAATACCCACCACCCACTCCATTTCTACTCCATGAACCATCAAAGGCCAATTCAGGAGATTATTTTTTTTTCCAAGCAGAGCTGATTACTGAGTGACTAACACAGTTATATTTTTCCAAAATCTAAATCTTAAATTTCCATTTTCGATATTGAGATGTTACAGTTGAAAAAGAGACAGAAAAAAAAAAAAAAAGATGGTGAAAGTTGTAGAAATCACCGTTACCTTGTTTTTCAATTAACCCAAAGGGCTCTCCTTATTTATTGCCATTCACGAAACACAATGAAGAAAGAAATCCACAGTGAAATCCATAAGGATCTGCCTTTTTAAATGCTTTGCTTGCTCTCTTTTGCCATTACCTCTAACCTAGGCTGCAAAATCCACAGAGAACGTATCTCTGTGGAAAGGCACTCCTACGATGGTCACAAAACTGAATGTCCTTAATTGCAGCCACTTCTACCATAACAGTAGTACTCAACTGTGCTCAGGCAGCTATCAGCTCTGAATGATGAGCATCAGCTCCTAACATTTCTCTCTACAACATAATTTCAAGTGATCTCTGCACGAGGACCCCAAAGGACACTGCACTTGAAGGTTCAGCTCCTCTAGGGCAGGTGTCTCCTCCCATGGGTAGGTTAAGGAAGACAGCTGGGGGCTTTGGAAGCAGATGTGGTGTTCATTGATGTTCCTTTGCACATTCACAATTAAAAGAAGCCTTACAAGATTTCAGGTTGCCAGTGGATGAAATAAGAGGAAAGAGTATAATTGTAAAGTCTTGTTTTCCTTAAATTTGAGCCTAAAGCGGGGGGAAAATACCCATACTTTAACTTTGTTTAGGTTTTTAGACAGTACAAGCTGGGGCTCTGGTGCAGGAGGTGGCAGGCATGTTTGGATTCCTTCCGCTGAGGATGGATTTTCGGCTGCCAAATTCCACGTACTGCATATCTGATTCTTTTTGTATGTATGTGCATGCAAAATTAAGCATAAAATAGCTTTATAAATCTAAGTTTGTAAAATAAAAATCAAAGCCAAACATGCCAAGGTGACTACACAAAAGGAAGCAATACCTAGGGAAGCGTGCACACCCTGGTTTAAAGGATTTATGGGACTGGGCATTTTAGCCTCAATTAATTTTCAAAGTGCTGAAAGCATACAAGAAACCATGTAATTACAAGATAACTTGGCTTACCCAGATTTGAGTTAACTAGCACTCTTGGGTTAATCAGAGGTCAGGCTTCTCCCCAGCCAACAAAGCTAAAGCCACTGTATTTGAATGCTTTGCTCCTTGCTTTAAAGCAACCATTAGCTCTTGTTTCAACGCCTTCATTTGGTAAGTATTTGGGATTTCAGAGACACTTGAGAAGACCAGGAAAGTAAAGCACAGCCACCAGACTCCAGCAAGGTGGGCAGCATGGGACCACACAGCCATGCAAGCACTGCTCCAGTCACCAGCCTGTTTTGTCCCTACCAAGGCACCCTCATTTTAAGGGTATTGTGCCCAACCTTCAGGACAAGCTGGTCCAAGCAACCCCTCATGAGACTCAGATCATCTCTTGAGAGCAGAGGAAGTCCCCCCGAGGACCATATAGGGAGGATTCTGGACACCACTCATGCCCTGTCCACGTTTGCATCCCAGGCAACTTGCTTTTTTTTTTAATGTGTGTCTATATCTACAACACCAAGAAACTTCCACGATTAGCAGCAACTACTTCCCACTGGACATTTTAAACTCCGTTACAATTACTCCTTTGTCCTGCTATTTTGTGCAATCAGATTTTTATTTTTCAATCTCTTTTAGACAGACACATTAGTGATTTATTTCCACCAATTAATACAAACTACCCAGAGAACAGAAAATTAGAGGGGTTAAAGGAAAATTGGATCTGTTGCAGTTAAGGACAAAACCAAGAGCAGGCTCGCAAAGTCCCACCATATAAAGGGATTACTCCATTCCTGACCCTTTCCAGGGGACCTCCAGGTATTATTTTTCATTGATTTACCTTAATGAAACTAATGCACCCCTCTCCATAGGAAGCTGACTCCATAGCTGTCTAGGCACTGGATTCAATTAAAGAAATAAATACATCTGGCTTCTAAATGGTTGAAAGCCTTGAAAAGCCAGAGGCAATACCAGTTTCTGCATCTGTCTCTCTTAGGGTACACCCTAAGGACAGATACCACGCGGGATGGCCGATATTCAACACCACTCCTGGAAACCCACAGCCACGGGGGGATGCCCGAAGCATCCCTGTCTGCTCCCTGGCAGCGCGGGCAGCTCCCGCAGCCCTCCCAGCGACCGAGCCACGGCTTTGATGGAAGCTGGCCTCAAATCGCTTTAACAAGGCTCTTTCTTTCCAGAAGCTGGCGTTGATTTGAGACCTTGATGTTGACTTAGAAACCCCCAGGTGCCCAGAGCCTGCAAATACTCAAGGCTTAGCTATGCTCAGTTTCCAGGAAAAGGGGTACACGCATCCAACCGCGGCGTGAAATATCAATACTACCGTGGCAGCTCAGCATTAAAATGAAGAGCAGGGGTTAAAGGCAGAAAAGCAGAAGCTGGGGTAGAAGGCGACGCCTCTGTGCCGGCTGCATCTCGCACCACACAACCGCATCGAGCAGGGCTGCACCAACAGAAAAACGAGGCACGCTTTGCTCACACGTGCCTTGGCTTGCAGACATGGGAATAGAGGAAACAAGGTGGCTCGAGAGCACTTTGTTTGCGATCTATCTGGGGAAATGCCACAGCTTTTTCTCCCACACATGAAACAAGCAGAAATGACAACAATTAGAGGGGTTCACTGAACCAGAAGGCAGGTCCAAAAGGTTTCTTTTGCTTTCCTTGTACTAATTACCCTAATCCAAATAGGGAGAGTGTAAATGTCAAGAACCTACACTATTTTCTGGATAAAATACTATTCTACCACTCTAGCTGGAGGGAAGGCTTAGTGGTCCAAGCCCCGGCTCGGAGCACTTAGACCAGGAGGAACATCAGGCTGAAATCTCCATGAGGAGATTGTCTGAACAAAATATAGGGAGTAAGGGGGGACTTTACAAAGATCTTTTCTCTTTCAAGCAGAGGTTGAAGATCCCATCATGCTTTCCCTATAACAGGCATTTCTCCTAGTTCCCCACACATTTAAGGACGCACAGGGGATAAAAGGAGCCAGTTAAACGCAACCTGCTCTAAAAGCAACAATTTAGCAACGCTACTGCAACAGCAGGCTTGTGGGTGACATTTCTGAAAGGAAACCTTTTCCCCTGATCTCTTATTTATCTTATTGATTTAAACTTCTACTCAATCTTTTCCTCTCCTCCCTTCCAAGACTAGGGGACCTCTTCTGGTTCAACTCACCCTCTAACACTTGAGGTGCGAGCAGAGCAGACCAAACGCGCATGACACGCAGTCTTGTACTCACCGACATTGTAGAGTGGACATCTACATCCCCCTACAGAGGACAACATAGGGAGTTTAAAGTCAAATGCAGAAGAGAGCAAAGCAACAGTGAGAAAGGCAGAGAGGTTTACATCGGTCATCGCCCATAGGTGTCTACAACCTATCAATGCTCCAACCAAGGCACCAGCTGCTTGGAAGTTAGCAGAGTACTAGAAAATAAAAATATGGGCTCTCTGAACCTGGGCTAAGGAGGGTGAGGAGGAAATCAAAGTACCACAGGACCAGTATTATTGCTATTAATTATGCTCTACAAGTCTATATCCACGTGCCTCAGCTCTCTCATCTGTAAGATGGAGGTGAGGGATGAGCAACCCTACCAAGTGACACAGGAATCAGCTCAGGCAAAACTTGCTCAGCCCTTCTGAGGGCAAGGGGATGTGCTCTATCTAAGCACAGACAGGACTTGTGCAAACCTAAAGAAGGCATCTTCAGTGCTCATATGATGTTTTCATGATGGCTATATTTCACTTGGGTCCCTCCCAACGTGGTCAAGGGTGTAGTTGGTGCAAAGTTAAAGGCATTTTACTCCCATGCACAATGCTCTGCCTTTTAAAATATTACAGAGGGATTTGTTGTTTTTTTTTTTAAATAAAAACATAGGTAATCGTTCTCTTTAAAAAGAAAATAAACACTTCCAAAGCTCTTTCTATCAAAGCAAGAGCTGTCATGGCCAGCATATTTATTTGCAACTGGAAAGAGATGCCAATACGGTGAATAAGGCAAAAACATTGCAGGCAGAGCAGCTGCAGTGTTCGCACGGCTCCAGCTGAAATCTGTGCCTGCCATCTGGCAAAAATAAGCACAAAGGGAAAAAAAAATCAACCCAAAACCCCCTTTGCAGAAAGTTCACGCTGAACTGCTCAAGATGGCAGAGGTTAGAGTTTGTTCGATCGCTGAAAGATTGCTTCCCCTTCCCGGGTCAGCATCACCTCTTGACCTGCACTGATTACCTTCCAAAGGAGGTTATCAAGATACAAGACTAACAGAGGATTAAAGGAAACTTAAAATAAAAACAAAATACCCCCCCCTTCCCTCAACTCTGCTCCCCTCCCCCAAGAAAACATCCTTGCTTTGTTAACCTGACAGTTCACTGTAGGTGTTGACACAACCCTCCATCTTTGCGAAGCTTAATGTCAACAAATCAGTGTGTTTGGAGTAGCCCTGTCAATGCGATTTACATTAACTTGTCTAACAAGAAATAAAAACAACAATCAGCCATCAAAGACAAAAGACTTTTTCAGTCATTATTTTAAAAGTATTATGCTGGAAATGTTAATTTTTGAGGCCATGGCCCTTTACTTGCTGAAAACCAGAAACCACCTTTTTTTTTTCCTAAAATACATTTTTTCCTAAAGTTTTTTTTTTTTAAAAAAAAAAAAAATATTTTTTTTTTTTTTAAAAAAAAAAAAAATATTTTTTTTTTTTTTAAAAAAAAAAAAAATATTTTTTTTTTTTTTAAAAAAAAAAAAAATATTTTTTTTTTTTTTAAAAAAAAAAAAAAGTATTTTCTTTTAAAGGAGGACCGAACATCCCATGTTAATACGCTCAGCAGCAGCAATAAGCCACTCTCCTTGGTTAACGCAGGAAGAGGGCAGCCTTGAAGCCAAATGTTAATTATGCTTTGATTTCCACCAGCGTGTTATTTGCTTTGAGACATTTTGGGCACTTAGCAGAGCATTTTCGAATTGTGGCTCTAAACCACCATGAAAATTTCATGCAGCAGTGGTATGCACCAAAACCCTGTTAATTTCACCATGAACTTTTCCGCCCAGACAGCACATGCCGTATCTACCAGCATCCCCTCCCCAGCTGGGGACTCGGTGTCCCAAAGTAAAGCTGCTAAAAGCAAACTGATTCCAAGGACTCCTAATATCAAGTGGTTTCCTCCATCTCTCACAATGTCTACTCTGATGCTTTAAAGGGAAAATTAGGGATTGCAATTCGTGCTTGAACACTAGAGAAAGCGCAGGCTCTTTAAGTCACTCCACGACCTAGGACTAGCTTTGGTCTAGGTTATTTTTCCTCCTTGTGTAGGGCAGTTGGACCAGATGACCTGGTTGCCCAAAGAGGTTGTAGATGCTCCATCGCAGGAAAAATTCAAGGCCAGGTTGCAATGATCTAGTTGAAAATACCCCTGCTTATGGCAGGGGGGTTGGACTAGATGACCTTTAAAGGTCCCTTCCAACCCAAACTATTCTGTGATTCTATGGCCTCCAGAGCTCCCTTCCAATCTCAACCATTCCGGGATTCCCCTCAATAAATACAGGAAAAATTCAGCCTTGTGTACCCAAAAAGGGAGAAAGAAACCCTCATGCCCAAATCTTGGCTTTGGAGCTGCCTTTTAGTTTGCTCAGCATCTCTGCTCCTCTTCACCCCCTCTCCGAAACGTTGACTTGAGTCAACCAGACTTTTCAAGGCTGTTTGATCTGCCTTGAGGCAAGCTGGAGCCTTGACCCCACAAAGGTTTCCTGCAGATGAGCAGCCCTGTCCAAGACAATGGGATTACTCACACCCGTCAAGTTAAGGAGCCGCCTGCATTTTTGCAGGCTCAGGACTTTCGGTTCCCTTCTATTACAGGACAGCGCTTTTTGTTGGTGTAATTTTAGCACAGTAACCACCGACATGCCCAGGCTGAGTTTCTTTGATCAGCAGGTGAAGGTTTTTCTTAGTGTAATTGCTGTCGTGACAAAAGGTAGGTAAGTAGCTCAGCTCCTGCCACTTAGTCATCTCCTGAGATTTCCACTCTTCTAAAAAACTGCTGCAAGTTCAAATACTAGCAGAAAACTTCTCACTTTTTTAAAAATCATAGAATCATAGAACTGCCTAGATTGGAAGGGACCTTTCAGATCACCTAGTCCAACCACCAACCTAACACTGACAAAAACCATCACTAAACCATGTCCCTAAGCACTATATCTACCCATCTTTTAAATACCTCCAGGGATGGGGACTCAACCACTTCCCTAGGCAGTCTGTTCCAATGCTTAATAACCTTTTCAGTGTAAAAATTTTTCCTAATATCAAATCTAAACCTCCCTTGGTGCAACTTGAAGCCTTTTCCTCTTGTCCTATCACCCGTTACTCAGAAGATACCAACCCCCACCTCTCTACACCCTCTTTTCAGGGAGTTGAGAGCAATAAGGTCTGCTTTTCTCAGCCTCCTTTCCTCTAAGCTAAGCAACCCCAGTTCCCCCAGCCGCTCCTCAGAAGACTTGTGCTCCAGAACCCTCAGCAGCTTTGTTGCCCTTCTCTGGACACACTCCAGCACCTCAATGTCTTTCTTGTAGTGAGGGGCCCAAAACTGGACACAGTACTTAAGGTGAGGCCTCACCAGCGCTGAGTACAGGGAGATGGCCACACTATTCCTGATACAGGCCAAGATGCTGTTGGCCTTCTTGGCCAACCTGGGCAAAATCATGTAAATTCAACACAAAGGTACCCGATTATCAGCTCTGGAAGAAAGGGGCATTTCCAAACCAGGAAAGGACATGAGGACAGGAAAGGATGGTGTTGCATGGAGTCAACTTCCAGGAATGAGAAGATGCTCCAAGGATGCCTCACGCTCTTCTTCATGAGCTACTAGAAGTGTGGAAATCCTGTATTTTAAAGCTGGACACGGCTGCAAACTAATTTTGAACAGGGCAGCAACTCCTCTTAGATTGTAATGCTATGGTACCAACGATTTGGGATTGATTGAGACCACCAGTATAGAAACAGCTCTACCTTGCCACTAGCAAACCCCCAACATCCTCTTGTAGTTATTATTCACCCTTTTTGGAGACAGCTCCTTTCTCTCTTGAACCCCCCTCACTCTTTCCTTTCACAAATGAAGCTCATCCCACATTTTTGATGCTTTCACAAAGATTTCCATCATTTTTTCTGCATTGCTTTAGACAGATGTGGGCTCCTACATGCCTTATCTCCTACATTTCATTTAGCAAAGTGCAAAAAAATTAATATTTTTCTAAGTAAGCCACTGGAAAAAAGGCCCTTGAGCGCCACAAGAACAAATCAGCAGACATCCCAAGGGAGCTGGATGCCTTTTTCATGTACTCTGATTTTTTCTGACTTGCTCTCATGCAACATTGCCCTTAAGGGTACGTGGGGACCTACCAGCAATGTTCAATGACAGCATCTTCATTGTGCTCCTCTAAAGGAAGAAACTCCAACATATAAAAAAAAAAAATAAAATCCCAGACCTACATCTTCTACAAACCTTTAACCAGATCTACAGCTTCACAAATCTGATTGCAGCATCTGATTTGACTTGCCTCCCCTGTCCCTTAGGGCTGTCAGGAGGATCAGTGCTGTGCAATGCTTTGAAATGCTTTGAAAATAAAATGCTGTGTGTGTGCTGGTTGAACAGCACTGGCACATTAGCTGGCACCTCTACCACAGCAAACTGCAGACAACCTTATCAGTTTGGTCCTTTCTAATCCAATTCTGGAATAGAAAAGGCAGCTTCGATCTGTCTGGGTCCTTTTTAGACCAGTTAGCTGCCCTCTCATTCTCCAAAACAATTTTGACTCACTCAAAAAGGAAACATTAATATTTAAGTAAGATAAATCACTCCAGGTCCATCTCATAAATCATTGTGGGCATCTCTTCCCTTCCTCATCTCTCCTGCTAGCCATGCTTCATGCTCTGCTGCAAAGACCACGCTCCCTGTCAAACTCCATTACTTGCTTGCATAAGTACTTCCAGTATGATTTGTGGGAGTGATCTGCAGGTGAAAACCCATCCCTGTGTGGCCACATCTCCTTTTTTAAGAGGAAATCAAGCAGTTGAAGAATCCAGCCCTCTCCAATCACCTCCAGACTCCAGAGGGCACCTGCCCCATGCCTGCTTGCATGGCCATCAGCCGTGCTGCTCAAGGCTACCAACGGAGGGCATGTTTTGGCAACAAACCTGGCCCAAACAAGAAAATGGGCAAAAGCCCTTCCAACCTCTCTGCACAGGAGACAACACTTTACTTGTAAGTTTGTTCCAGTGATAAGAGCCAAGAAATCACCTTCTCCTCAACAAACATGACCAGGTACAGAGAACTGGGAAAGCCACTTTCATTTCTCTTTTGGTGGCTTCTCTTATTCACAGCACATCTGTCCTCATTTCTATCCTGCTACCAGATCTTCATGCTGTGATGGAGAGGGCCAAAGACATGAGTCATGCAGAAAACTGCAAAGTTTTGGGGCTGTAACACCTCCTAAACTAGCTCTGGAGTTCTTGAGCATCCTTCCAATAGAGCAATCACAGCAGCACAAACAAGCAGAATGTAGCGAAGGAAACTGCTAATGTGTATTATTAGTCTTTTCTTCCTGTTTATATCCAAACTCACGAAAGTTGTCCAGTGTGTGCCACTGTACTATAAACCCAGGCACCAACTAACAACAAATAAGTAACAGTCAAGTAAAGAAGAAAGATCTGAAGTTGCTTTTAGGACAAATACAGTGTTCAGTGGATTTGCTATTTCAAAATACCTGCCGACTGAAGATACTCTTAAGTATATATCCATACAGCTCAGAAGAAATCTTATTTAAAGAAAAAAAAGCTGTTCGAGCAAAAATGAAACTCCCCGATGGTTTTCTTTTTCCTATTCAACAGGACACTACTCAGCCAACTGCAAAAAACAACATAAAATACATTTTTGATCGCAATAACAGCATAAACACAGGCATATTTGAGACAGCAGAGAAAAGAAAGAAACATATGCTGCCTTCCAACAGAGCAATATCTTGATATAAGGCATCCAGTGACTTGACAAACATTTGGAAATGTATCTGCAGTTCAAATAATAGACACCCTTATACTGGGATCTCTTAAAAAATCTTGGATGTCCATTAAGCTGAAAGTTAACATATCTAAAATATAAGTGGCTAGTGAATTATGATCCTAATTCTACATGGTGGACTGTGATATTTCGCTTGTTCACGTATAAATAGACTTGCAATTACTTGGGGAGACTCTTGCTGAAGCCCAGCAAAGTGAATTAGTTTGCTCTAAAAAACAGATTTGTTATTTCATAACTCTTGACAGTCCACGGCCCCATGTCCATCACACTCCATAACGCTTGAGCAAACATTAGTTTCAACAGTGCCATTGGACACCCATGTGCTCCCCAGACAGAAAACTAAACAATTTGTTGGAAGTGGCTTACCGGGAGGTGGGTGAACACAGCAAACGTGCTGCGGAGAAAGCCAATAAGATCTACAAGGTAGTCGCTGGCCTTGCTGCCTGGCTCCATGGCCATCCAGTCGTAGTCTGCCAGCTGCAAGAACTGGTCTATCTTCTGGTTCAGGTTAGTGTAAATCTCCTCCTCAGCTGCATGGCGGGCATCCTGGGAAACAAGACCATGTTAGATGGGATGGAGCCACCATATCACAAGTCTACACAAGCAATAGGATGTGAGACTGACCCAACCTTTAGCCCTAAAGGTAGCACAAGACAAAGTGTCTGTAGGTAATTACAGGCTCAGGTTAGCTCAGGCTGGTGGGACATGTGCCACCAGGTCAGTGATAGACAAGATCAAGCAGGTGTCTGATGCAATCTAAGGACCAGGAGGACATACCTAGTGCAGGACAGAAGAGAGAGAGGTGGTAGAGGAATGTCTCATATCGAAAAAGCTTGAGACCCACCAAACTGTGCACACTTATGGGGTGCAGGAGGAGCCTCCCTGCCAGAATAAGGGTAGGAAAACTCACCCTTTAGATGATGCCAGAAGGGACAACAAAGGGACTTGCCTGGGGACATGGGGCCTTAGTATCCTGCTGAGTCCCAAGGACAAACCTCACCTAACCAATTCCCCACTGTTGCTCAAGTCCTTAGCACTATTCCCATCTCCGGCTCTCAAGCCACAGGACCCAATTCAGACACCCCAAAGTTTACCAATTATGGGCTTGCAATTTCATAGAAAGTATCTGTGTGGACACTCTTGGGTTACAATTTAAAGATTTTAAAACTGGGAAGTCTAGCAGTTTCTGCCAGCCCTGATTTTTAGGGGATAATGCTACAATGAGTGGAAAGATACAGAAATATAAGTTCTGAAAATCTATTCTCCTCTTGGGTGAAAGAGGAGAGCTTGCGTTCATGGCCAGACGTGTGTAACATTGTACAGCACTCAAACAGCAAAATGAAAATTCATTAAAAGAAAAAAAAAATCAAGCTTTTGTTTAAAAGCTGTTTAATCTTTTAAATAAAAAGTATGGCAGTCACAGCCTGTAAATTAGGGTTACAAATGCTCCAAAGGACAAACCCAAAAGCTAGTCTGATGGCGTAAGCCTCCCAGGACATGACAAAATTACCTTTCAGCTCAGCTTAGCTCCCTACATACACACATCCACACACGCGCTTTGAAAGCAGATACTCTCCAGCCAAACATCAACAGCAACTGCCTGGAGGTGAATCTACAAATCTACCAGCCTTCTCACCTTGAAGGTTGTGGTCCCGTAGAGTTTCGTAGTGTGGACAGTTTCTGGAAGTACATTAGTGATATTGGTTATGAACTCCTCTAGGAACTTGCAAGATTTCTCCAAATGGGTCGTATTTATAATAATTTGTACAAGCTGCAAAGGTAAAAAAGGTATTGAAAGATGGTGCTCCTGAAGCCAGGGATGTGCCAGGTTAATGGATGCCAACTTGTAAGAACTTCTGGCATGAAAAGCTGATGCTGTACAAACACACTAAGCTTTGCTACATGCTCAAAGGCTCTCCTCCTTTAACAACATCAGAAACTTAAATAAAAGATAATTTGGGGGGAAAAGCATTTCCCATGACAGCCACTAATACCACAAAAGATTTTTTTTTAATGACTTTTCTACATTCACCTGTCAGTCAGGGCTCATTTCAGCACAATTCAAATACGACAGGCTTACAAAAAAATGCCATGTCAAATCACAAGTATTCTGTCTGCTAATGAACCCTAAATAACCCATTTCTTGAGTGACACCAAACAACATCATACTAAGGCATTTAACAAAGAAACCAGAAGGTTTTACTTTTCTGAGGGTGGTGTGGGTGAAGAGCAGATCTCACCCTGGTATCTTCTCGGTTACCATACCCACCATTATCTGCAATTTTCTTAATGCTGTCTTCTCAGCTGCCTTCTTGTGGCACTATTTTGGGACATTAAAGGAAACTACAGAGTAAAAGCCTCTGCTGAAGTCAACCAACCCAAACATTTACAAACCAGAGGAAAACAACATGGGCTTCCCCTTTAGGATCACTCACTTGGAAGAATCATTCATTCCTTAAGCAGGTATCTTTTTTCCTAGCCAATTGCCTTGAATGTTTTCAAGGTGCAACATAAGCTATAACAAAACCTTTCTAAATAACATCTAGCTTGGATATCAGGCCAAAAAAGTTCTTCTACAGACACAGAAGGCATTATAATGCTCCAGACTGATATAATTTAAATGCTGGAGTACAGCATGGCAGTCAAAAGCTACCTCCACTAAATAAATTATTTTGAAACAGTCACAAATCTTCTGAATGAGATGGATTAATCACTGGTTAGAGTGTTGCAGGCACAGAAATACTGAAGTAATGCTACAAAGATTATAGCACCCAACTCTTGTTGCTGGTAGATGACGTGAGAAGGGGCAATGGTCACAGCTTGAGAGATTCATCTTGGATATTAGGAAGAAAAAGAGTCATTAGGAAGGTAGTGCAGAACTGGAACAGGGTGCCCAGAGAAGCTGTGGGACCTGTTTTGGAGAAATTAAAATTGGGTAGAAAAAGCAATGGTTGACGTGATACGAGTGAGTTACAATCCCACTTCCACTGAGAGGCTGGATTAGATACTTCCAAAGGTCCCTTCCAACCAATGCTTCTGTGATTTCAGTCAGGTGTTTGTTTTTAAGAAATCAAATTCTAGTCTATTTGAACTCCTCTCGTTTTGTACTTGATCCCTGAAATGTATTACACAGGTAACAGGTCCCTGAAAGGTATTACACAGGGCTTCTCATTTCTGAATTCCTTGGTTTAATGCTGTTGTTGACTTTTGCCTTCACACAAGTGCTTACTTGTTTGCCTTTCTCTGTGTCAGATAGCCCTAACATCATGATTATGATATATTTTTCTATAATTTCAAGTTAATTAAATATTAGGTATTTCCATCTGTGCGAAATTCCTCCTAAAACTCTTCTCTGATCATCACAATTTACTAGTCCAGATAAGTTATCACACTTGAAGGCTCCAGTTGCTTTGATTCTCTTCCATCACTTGCTATGACCTTTCCTGCTCCCTCTCTGACCCCTTCAGGTTCTGATCTTCTCTTGAATTAGGAAGGGCAATACCTTCTCCTTGGGGTAAGACCTTCTCGTTGGAGTATTCAAATGAAACATATAGTAGCTTCTTTTTCCTCTCTTTTGTTGAGGGATGTCAGGATTATTCAAAACACCAGGATTATGGGAGCAGGCTTCAACATCAAGTGTTCAGAGGTAGCCCAAAAAAATGGCAATGAAAAACAAATTATAGAGGATAACAGACTGGGAAGGTTGGTACACAGCCTTGTATTAACTTGTTGACTGCTTGGAAAATTACTCTGGAAAGCCCAGAAATGGATGGTATTGCTTTGTGCAAAAATTAAATCTGGGAAGTGATAGTTATGCAAGGTACTTAAATATCTGCTGCAATCACTTTTGACACCAGGACTATGCTTGTATAAGATCTGGGACCCTTCAATGCATCCTTTAATTCCTGTGCTTCATACAGTCACAGCAATGTCTTAAGAGGGAAGGATTTTTTTCAGAAATAAAATGCTGCATGCTGCCATTTGGACTAACAGGTCAATGGCTACACAAAGAGGCGAGGCAGAAGGGGACAAAGATGCTCAAAGTAGCTTTTCTTACACGAAATTAGAAAAAACTGATGGTAGAGATAATCTCAGGAGAGCACTAGTTGTACTTTGGTAAGTGGTAAGGATTAAGAGGTTGAAAATATAAGAAGAGATTCAGAGATGAACATCAGTGTCTGAACATACTACACCTTTATTTTAAGCTCAAGCTGTGCTATGTAGGCTTTCCTTGCAAAAATCCTCTTCAGCTCCAAAGCACATGAAGAAGCCACTCTAAGCCCAAAGAAAGGCATCACCTTCACTCAACAGGGAAGATGTCCAGGAACATCTACACCTTCTAAACTGGGCAAAAGAGGCTGAGGGGACCATAACATTCAGTTTCCCCTTCCTACACTCAGTCACACTGTGGGAATGTTTGCTAGAGCAGCACAAATGACCATTTGGGGGATGGATAGTGCAGGGATAGTGTTGCATTCCTCTTTGTGGAGGGAGCCTTGGGAGGAGCAGGAGGGAAGAGGAATTTGCCCCCAGGGAGCAGAGAGATTCCAGGCTTCTAGATGAAGGGCTGAGGAAGCATCATGTGTAAATACATACCGCTGTAAACTAAACTCTCCAAAACTCAACTCCAAAGGGTATTTACAGTGTCCAGAGAACATGACATATTTCTATAGTACAGCCAAGTAAACAACTGCAACTGTATAATACCTACTCATTTAATAACAGTCGACAGACAGAGGTCCCACTAAGGTATCCAAACTGTCCTGGGTACCACACATATTTCCAAATAGCCATGATTTACATGGATTAAACTTTTCAGAAATCTGACTTCACACACAAAAATATATTGATCACAAACAGAAAATACCAATATTGAGTTTGTACTGCAGCAATGTGCTGAAACTGCCTCAGACATCACCTATGGGTGAGGACCACTCCCCCATCCTCTCCTACCTCCCACTTAGCTGCTCTTCTCCCTGAAGTCTTCTTAGCTACTTAGCTTAATTCAGATATATAACACTCTGCAAATTCAAAAGAGGAGCAATTCTAACAGAACAGCAAAAAAAGCTTCCTCTTTCCTGCAGTATTGTCTCTTTCTTTGTACAGCAACACTGTGTAGTTCCATTATTATTTTCCAACCAAATATTTTATAGTAATGGCCCAAACCAGCATCTCTAAAGGTTTTGTAAGAAGTTCCGAGGGACAAAACCCCCTTCTGTCACCCTGCCCTAGAAATGGGTTTCCTCGAAGCTGTGCCCTACCTCTGTCAGCCCAACGTTTTTCCTCTTGATGACATTCTGTAAACAGTTGCTCAGCGTTCGGGTCAGCAGCAGATTTGTAGATTTTCTAATCATATCATCAACTTCCGTGGAGCTGAAAAGTAGAATTTCAAGAGAGATTTGCAAAAACACTCTATGAAAAGAAAGTCATCTGGAACCCCCATCACCCAGTCTCCTTCCTCATCCTCTGCTGACTTATGCCTAATCATCCACGGATCACTTACAGGCACTGACATACTAATACACACCAAAATATCAGCACCTTAGGCCTCTTGTAGCTATAGCCTATGTGGCTATAAGGAATGGGGACTAATGCAAGCAAACCCTATATCCCTGAGCTTCTCCTCTTAGAGGGGGCCGCCAGAACAGGTAAGAGGTGCCCACAGCATCAGCACTAACCCATGGAGCCAAGCCACTGCCCCATACACAACACCGGAGTTTTGCGTATTCAGTACACAAGGGGAAAGGGATCAAAGACCTGCAATGGGGAAAAAAAAAAGAAAAAAAAAAGATCAAGCCCCCAGAATGCTCTCCCTCCCTGTCCCGTGTCCCCCTCC